ACATCTGAGGACCACTCCTCATGGGGGCAGCAGATCAGGCACAAAAAAAAATTATATATATTTTCCCCCATGAGTAGACTGGTATACTTGTCTTTCTGGATTGCTTAAGCTCCCAGAGTTCTTGGAAGATCTGGTGAGGGAGAAGTGCAAGAATCTTACACTGGGCTTCCCAACAGCATGGCATGTGAGGGCTCAAGCTAATTCTGGCAAAAAGGAAGGAATCAGTACTTCTACTCCAAGGTTTTAGAACAGGACATGTCTATTGCATAGGAAGAACACTAGACGATGTCTAAAATCCTGGGTGAGCTCTGTCACTAGGTCACTGTGTGGGTATAGTCAAATTATCCAGCCTCTCTCGGTTTGGGGTTAGACAGTATGAGTGCTTTCCAGCCTTTCCCCATCAAGAGGCTCAAAGAGCATGACTGAGCAAATGCATTTGTACCAAGTCCATTTAGAAACTCCACCTTCTTGCTAAGATTCTGATATCTGCAAGCTGCAAAACATTTGATTAGATGATAGTCTGTATATATATAAAAGCCTAAGCGGCCATGTGACCATCCGACCAGTAGCTATGACACACACTAACCACCAGGGGACAGAGGCTCAACAAAGGAGCTGCCAAGCTGTGGTGACTTGGCAGCTTCAGTTCTCGGGTGATACACCCAAAACCACAGAAGAGGGAGCCCGGTTCTGGGGTGTGTCACCCAATAACCACCTTCTTGTAATCCAGGTTCCCTCAGGGGATGTCATAGAGCCAGTTTCAGCCCAATATCCACAAGCCAAGCTGAGGGATCCCACCGGTGCACAAATTTATGCGCTGGGCTTCTAGTAATAAAAGAGCTGACAAGTTGTCCACTCACAATCTTCTAGGCATTGTGCTCACAATTCACAAGAATTATATTTTGTTCTCACAAGCATTCTGTGGCAACATTGCCATTTTACAGACAAGGAAGCAGGCTGAGGAAAATTAAATAGCTTCTTCAAGTTTATACAGCAAAAACGTGAATGTTCTAAGCTTTAAATTCATATCTTTCTCAGAATCCAAACTCATAGCAACTACCTTTTACTGCTACCATTGAGTGTCTAGCTCTAACATTTTAAAATCTGTTACCTTGAGTGTGCTCTTCCTCCCCATAGTAGGGCTGTGCCTTTCCCTTTTCCTTTCCCTTTCCTTTCCCCTCCCCAGGCATCTTACCGTTAGCTTCCTCATTCCCAAGTTCCAAGGGCCCTTCCTTTACCTCTAGAATTTGCTTGCTAAGCCCATTTCTTTTAGGAATTACTTTTTCTACCTCTGTAATTCACCCAATAACTGTTCTCTTACAAAAATAAATAAAATAAAGTTTTGTGACTTTGTTCTTGAGGTGAACTTAGGAGATATGGATGAATTTTGGGTTGTGCTCAGAATGAATTTGGGAGTTCCTCACATCAGCCTGTGCATTCTTTCAGCCCCTTCTATGCAGCAAGCACTAAGCCAAATGCAGTCACAAAGATGAACTGACATCGATCTGCCTCTTGAGAGCTCATGGTCTAGAACTCAATGTGAAGTCCAGGACTTCAAATCCAATTGCAAGTTAGGAATGAGAGGAGTTATGGTGCATATCTTTCTGTCCCTCTCTTAATGGGAACAATCAGGCCAGTAGAAGACAAGGCAGGAACCATATTGTCCCTTTTTTCAGAAACAGTCAAGTGTGATGACCAAGATTCTGGACCCTACAGTCAAACACACCTGGTCTTAAACATTGGTTCCACCAACTTGTGTAACTTTGGATAATGTTATCTCTTAGAATTCCCATTCTCCTCTGGAGAAGAGTAAAATAAACTATCTGTATTAGTTTCCTGGGCTTCCATAACAAACTCCCACACACTTGGAGAAAAATAAAATAAAAACAGAAATGTTTTTCTCAGTCTGGAGGCCAGAAGTCTGAAATCAGGGTGTCAGCAGGCCTGGCTCCCTCCAAAAGCTCAGGGAGAGTCCTTCCTTGCCTCTTGTAGCTCTTGGTGACTCCTGGTAATATCATGTGGCCTCCACCCTTCTCCTACATGCCTCCTTCCCTGTGTCTCTGTGTGTCCTTTTCTGTCTCTTATAAGGACACACATTGGACTTAGGGCTCACCCTAATCCAGTATGATCTCACCTTCATTGACCCTTAAGTATGGCCACAAAAATCCAAACAAAGTCACATTCTTAGGTTCCAAGTTTTCATGAATTTGGGGGGAAACACTATTCAACCCAGTACCCTATCTTATAGGACTGCTGAGAGGGTAAATGAGGTCATGTACAGAAAGCATTCTGCACAGACTGGGCACATAAACACAATAAATGTTAGCTGTACATATGTATGCATTTTGTATGTGTGTATATATATGTACTAGAGGCCTAGTGCATGAAATTCGTGCATGAGGGGGTTGTCCTTTAGCCCAACCTGCACCCTCTCCAATCTGGAACCCCTCGAGGGATGTCCAGCTGCCTGTTTAGGCCCGATCCACCAGGCAGTTGGACATCCCTCTCACAATCCAGGACTGCTGGCTCCCAACTGCTCACCTGCCTGCCTTACTGATTGCCCCTAATCCCTTCTGCCTGCCAGCCTGATCACCCCCTAACCACTCCCCTGCCAGCCTGATTGATGCCTAATTGCTCCCCTGCCAGCCTGTTTGCCCCTACCTGCCCTCCTCAGTGGGCCTCGTCACCCCTAACTGCCCTCCCCTGCAGACCTGGTCACCCCTAATTTCCCTTCCCTGCAGGCCTAATCTCCCACAACTGCTCTCCCTACAGGCCTGGTTCCCACACAACTGTCCTCCTCTGCAGGCTTGGTCATCTCCAACTTCCCTCCTCTGCCAGCCTGGTCACCCCTAATTGCCCTCCCTTGCAGGCTTGGTTGCCCCCAACTGCCCTCCCTTGCAGGTCTGGTTCCTCCCAACTGTTCTCCCCTGCTGGCCATCTTGTGGTGGCCATCTTGTGTCCACATGGGGGCAGGATCTTTGACTACATGGGGGCAGCCATCTTGTGTGTTGGAGTAATGGTCAATCTGCATATTACTCTTTTATTAGATAGAATAGAGGCCTGGTGCATGGGTGGGGGCCAGCTGGTTTGCCCTGAATGGTGTCCCAGATTAGGGTGGGGGTTCCCTTGGGGCATGGGGTGGCCTGTGCAATGGGCTTATGGTGGTTTTCAGACTGGTCACACACCCCGGTGACCCAAGCAAAGGCCCTGGTATCTGGGATTTATTTATCTTCTACAATTGAAACTTTGTAGCCTGGAGCGGAGCCAAGCCTCCTACTCTCTCTGTGGCGGCAGCCATTTCTGTTGGGATTTATTTATCTTCTATAATTTAAACTTTGTAGCCTTAAGCAAAGACCAAGCCAGGCCAGGGCAGGTGGAAAGCTTGGCTTCCTCCATCACCGAGGGCAACCCTAGCCTCCTGCTCTCTCCAGCTCCGTGGCTGCCACCATTTTTGTTGGGATTTATTTATTTTCTATAATTGAAACTTTGTAGCCTGGAGTGGAGGCCTCAGCTGGCCAGGATGTGCAAAAAGCTTGGCTTCCTCCATTGCTGAGGAAACCCAAGCCTCCCTCCTGCTCTCTGTGGCCGCAGCGATCTTGGTTGGGTTAATTTGCATACTTGGTCCTGATTGGCTGATGGGCGTGGCTTGTGGGTGTAGCAGAGGTGTGGTCAATTTGCATGTTACTCTTTTATTAAATATGATATGTATGCATATGTAACTACTTTGTTACTTACTAGATTTACCAAAGATTTATTTTATTATTCATTTCACCAAAAGAAATGGTAACTTTCAATATTGTTTGCTCTTTGTGAGTGTCCTAATTTGGTTGTTTCTGCTTCTATCATATTATTTTTTTCTTTAGGCTTGTGGTTGTTATTCATATTTGTCTTTCTCTTTTTTTCCAAAAATGTTCTGGATGTTTGGGGTTACAGATCCATTTTCTCAAGAGGCAGTCTCTTAAATTTCACTCCAGTGAACATTTTCTTTTTATTCAGGTATTTTGATCATCTTGTAGAACTGGTGAACTTTTTGTTTGTTATTGAGAATTATTGTTCCCTGGAACATCTTTATGTTGCTACTAGAGGCCCGGTGCACAAAATTACACATTGGAGAGGGGAGGAGAAGTGCTCCCTCAGCGTGGCCTGCGCCCTCTCACAGTTCAGAATCCCTCAGGGGATGTCCGACTGCCGAGGAGTTGGGAGAGGCTCCTGCCACCACCACTGTGCTTGCCAGCTATGAACCCAGTTCTGGCGCACTGACCACCAGAGGGCAGCTCCTGCATTGAGTGTCTGCCCCCTGGTAGTCACCGGTCATTCTGCCATTCAGTCAATTTGCAATATTAGCCTTTTAGTATATAGGATAATGATCATTTCCCATAAATGACCCATAGATTCTTATATCCTCTATTTACAATGGGTGAAATTCAGAATGTGTCCTTTTATCCTTTGTTATCATTATACTCCACCTTCCATTCAAAGGCCACTGTCCCTCCAGACCTTTATTAAGCTACATTCCTTGTTTGCTAGGAAATCCTCACAGGTCTGGCCCCGCCCACACCCATACATGCCGGGCTGGAGCGCAGTGAGTGGGCCAGTTCATGTCCTGGCAGTCCTGGTGCTTTTAGCAGGTCCTGAGGTCTGTGATCTGGAATTGATTCTCACCAACATCCAAACTGGATTCTAGATTGGACAGAGCTAAGATTGGACAGTGCCAATATGTTGGCAGTAGATTCTAAGCTCCACTCGAGCCTTCACGAGTGGAGGTGGACTCATGCACCCTCCCAGCAGTGCCCATTTCTGAAATGAAAGGCAAGCGATGGCACATGGAAGGAAATACGGGACTATTTATTGCAAAGCTAGATTGGGAGGGAAGAGAGAGGGAGGAGGACGGGCGGAAGTGAACTGATGTACATGGACAGCCACCTTGCCCAGGCGCCCTTCTGCTCCTGGGACCCGTCCCTGTCAGGAAAAAATTTCTGACCTGCTGTTTCCACCTCCCGCTGGGCACGAGGCACCCCTCTGAGCCAGAGCACCGCGGTCTAGCAGCAGGCCATCCAGCGGGGAGCCAGGCCCTGCCCGGGAAGGAGCCGCGCCCCCTGGGACTGTGCAGTGGTGGGCAATGCAGAAACTGGCGAGGACCAAGGACAGCAGGGCCACAGGAAGCCCAGCACCGGCCTCAGCGTTCCTTTAGGATGAGCCGAGTTTTCCCGTCTCCAATGAAGAACCTACAACAGCAATGGCCCAGTGAGTCTCTGAGCCCCGGGGGGAGTCGCCCAGCCCCTTGTTCATCTCTCCAGGCCGAGTTCTCCAGAGAGCTGCCTTCCTGAGCTTTGCCAGCCTCAACCTCTAGCTGGGATGGCGTTGAGGCGGGGGAGGGGGTCTCTGCTTGGCTTCAGCTCTTTTCCATGAGACACTCAGCTCCACCCTCTGCAAGCAGCAGGCAATAATCAGGGATGCTTTGCACTAAGCCATGGGCTAAGGGGTTCAGGCTAGACCCACCTGCTGGATCCCGGAGGCTCCCAGGAAGGGAGCGAGTATCCCTCTGACAACATCCACCTTACTATCCACTGCACAGCTCCGTGGAGCACTGTCCACGCTGTTCTAGGGGAACGAGGTCCCTGCCATGCGTGCTCATGGGGCACCATGTATGTGGTTTTCCATGTGAGGAGGGCCCCCTGGCGTTGGATGACCTCGTGCAGGGAGCAGCTCCTCCCCTGCTCTTGGACCTCACCCCAAGGTCAGGATCAGGCTCAGGCTGCAAACACGGCCAGCAGCAGTGCTTGGCTCCAAGGCCACGTGACTGACTCAGGGGTAGGTCGATGCATCCTGGGCAGCCACACCAGTTACCATCGGCCACAGCTGTCGTTCTGTTTCCTCTGACCTGCCGAGCGCCTCGGCCTCTGCTGGGGAGCCCCGTGAGAGGACCGTCTGCGGGACACGTTGTTTGGGCACCTGCCTGGCCAGTGCTTTCTGTGCTCTCTCAGTTATGTGAGCCAACGGGTTCTCCTTCAGGCCACGCTGTGCTGAGAGGGGTTTCTGTCACTCGCTGTCAAAGGCCCCAGAGTCATGACGTTTGCCTCTGAGGACGGCTCCCTCTGCTCCTCTACACACTCAGGTGAGATCCCATTGCCCACGGCCTGGACGCTGCAGGAGCTGTCACCCGCTGCCCGCCCGCGGGGCAGTGACCGCCACGCTCCTACCTGACAAGCGCTCCAGCCAGCAGGCTGCCCAGCAGCGGGCCCAGCCAGTAGATCCAGTGGAAGGCCCAGTGGTTGGCCAGCACCGCCGGCCCAAAGGCCCGGGCAGGGTTCATGCAGGCTCCCGACACGGCGCCCCTGCAGACAGCAGCCACACTCGTCCCCAGATCCCGGCCAGGCCCGGCTCCCCTCAAGTTCCTTCCCAGCCAGGCCTACCTCCCACATCTCCCACACTCCCGCCCTGTCCCGGGTTCCGGAGGGTTCCAAGAAGACAGGTAGGGGCGCTAGTGCTGGGCAGTGAAAGGCTGGCTCCTCCCGGGGCACGGCGTCGGCCACACCCATGCCCACCCAGGAGGATGTCCACAGGGGTGCCTGGGCAGCAGGAAGGGACGGAGAGGGGGGGTGCAAGCTTAGGGGGGAGGCAAAGTCTCTCCAAAGTTGATAAAGCCACCTCGAGCAGTTGTCAATCATGGGAGCTCTGGAGTCAAGCAGACTTAGGTTCAGAACCCAGCCCAGCTATGCCCAGCTGTGTGACCTCTAACCTCTGTGTTTCAGCGGAGGTGAAAGTACTCTCTCATGGGCTGTCAGGAGTCAATGAGGAAACGCATACATAGCCACGCCTCGCCTGCAAGCCATACACGTGTGTTTAATCTAGGTGACCCGGCGGCTCCTCTAAAGGCTGTGGCCCAGTTCTGGTGTCTGAGCTTTGTCCCTTCTCTCAAGCTGGTCCTGCAGACTGTGCTCGGCACCCACAGGCCTCCAATAACCGCTCAATAGGCTTGTAAGTGAGCCAAGAGCCACTAGGGGGCAGCAAAGCATTGCCACACTTTACACAGGTTCACAGATCTCCTCCCAAGGATGACATGGGCGAGGGCAGAGCAGGGAAACTGTCCCAGAGAAAAGAAAGAACTGGACATCAGGGGCTCCTCATCCCCTTCAGCAGGATGTGGGCTCTGGTCCCAGATCTGTCACTTAATCTGCTGCTGCCCGGGGACCTTCAGTAAGTCCCTGTGTCCTCTCTGAGCCCATCTCCTTACATACGTGAGAGAACACCTCCCCAGCCTTGTCTCCGAGTCCCTTCCCAAGCCCTGAGCGGCCCCACACAAATGAGACGGTGGTGAGTCGGGCTGAAGCCTGGCTGCCAAACAGCCTCAGAAATGTTTACGGAAACACAGAGATAATTTCACATAAAATCCAGTCTCCTGACTCCCGTGGGGTGAAATCAGAAGGCTCCCGCCAGGCCCCTCCTACATGGCAACAATTTCCCAGAAGGAATAGTGGTGCCTCCCTGCCACCTGCTAATGCTCGGCCACCTCTCCCATTGGCACTCCCTTCCCGCCCTGTTGGCATTGGAATCCGTGCCCTCAGGTAAGCTCTGCAGGCCCGACCCCAGAGCCGGGCTCAGCCCAGTCCGGGCACCGTAGCCTGCAGCCGGACGCACTCACCCTGCCAGGATGTCCACGGTGACGGAGAACCCGATGGAGAACGGGGCCAGCGGGCCCCGCGTCTTCTCGTTGATGGCGCCCATGCAGACCGCCAGGACCAGCAGGGTGGTCAGGACGACCTCTGCCAGCACGGCCCCCGCCACCTGCCCCGGCTCCTGCACCGTCACAAAGGCGGCCCCGGACGCGTTCCAGAACCTGTCGCCGGGACTCACCGCCTGCGGAGAGAAGCCGCTCAGCCCCGGGTGCAGAGGGCCGGGAGCTCATGCCCCCCGCAGGGAAGGGTTACAGGGCCACAGCCAGCCCAGCCCTCCCTCCAGGTGGCAGTGTGTGATCTATTGGGCTTCTCGGAGCTCGCTTTGCTCATCTGTGAAATGGGATAACCCAGCTGTGGTCCCGGTGGGCCTGAAGCTTCTATGGCTTAGATCAGCGTTTTTCAACCGCTGTTCCGCGGCACACTAGTGTGCCGCGAGATGTTGCCTGGTGTGCCGTAGGTGCAGACAAGAATTTTATAATTTTTCACTATTTTGTTTACTTAATATTTCATAATAAAGTAATTATAAAATACTTTCTTTGTGTTTATTTGATTCCTATTCAAGAGAATTACTTTATATATAGTCAATATAGGCACAGAGTTAAATTTTTTAACATTTTCTAATGGTGGTGTGCCTCGTGATTTTTTTCATGAAACAAGTGTGCCTTTGCCCAAAAAAGGTTGAAAAACACTGGCTTAGATGATCCTCTTTGAGGAAAAGAAGACAAAATTACCTTATTTTTACAAACTCGAAACACACGTGACCAGGATGTTGCTAACCCTTAAGAAGTCCCTTCAAGGGGCAAGGAGGGCCCTGGGGCTTAAGCGCCGTGGGAGCCAGGAAACCCAGGGCCGTGGCAGCACCAGGAGAGGGAAGACAGCAGAGGACCACATTCTGGGCCCCGGGCCGAATCTGGGTGGTGCAGCTCGCCAGTCCTGCGCCTGGGCGAGGTTCTGACCTCCCTGCGCCTCGCTTCCTCCTCCAGAGAATGGGGGTGGTGACAGCTGCGCACCAGGTCAGGGCGCCCTCTAGGGACGGACTGGCCTCTGGTGCGGTGGTTGGGAAATGGAATGGGCAGTTGTGCGGAGCTGAGGAGGGCGGGCTGGAGGGGGAGCCTGGGCACTGCTCCCATCAAGGGTCAGAGGTGGAGGTGGAGGTGGGCATGGGGTCTTACGCGGGGGCATGCGGGCATGGGGGGGCCAGGGCAGGGAACAGCAGTGTGGGACTTGAGACCAAAGTCTGCAATGGGCCAGATCTTAGAGCCGCCGTCCAAACCCAGCCAGCTAGCAAGGCGACCGGGCCCACCTCTACCCTCCCACTCACTCACACGTGCCAAGCAAGGCCTAGATCTTGAAGGAATCCTAGTTGGACTGACCCTTAAGTTAGGAAAGGAGAGGGGGGCGGGGGGGAAAGGGAGGAAAGGGGGAAGGGGAGGGGGGAAAGGGATGGAGAGAGAAAGAAAGGAAAACAGATAAAATGGAAGAAGGAAGGGAGGATGGGAAGGAAGGAGGGAAGGAGGGAGGGAGGCAGGGAGAGAAGAGGGAAGGACAGGCCTACGGAGGGACACAGGGAGGGAGCAGGCGCTATGAAAGTCTGGTGACAGAAAAGAAGAGCAGGGTGAGAGGCTTCCATGGGGAGGTGGATGTGAGCCCCATGGAAGGCAGGGAGCTCGGGGAAGAAAGCTGGCAGCACAGGGAGCAGTGAGCTCAGGCTCCGGGGGGGGGGGGGGGGGGGCTGTCCCCGGGCAGCCCAGGAGAGCCAGAGGGGAGGGGGGGCTGTGGCTGAGCGAGTGGCTGATGACACCTGCGGCCTTAGAACCAGCAGACCCGCTGCGGGCCGGAGAGGGACTGGGAGGAAACCTCCGGCCGGAGCCCTGCCTCCGCTTCCCTTCCCGGGCTGTCCAGACGGAGAGAGCGGGTGCGTTTGGAGAGAACCAGTGTCCCGTCCCAAGTAGAGAAGGCCCCCAGTCCCCCTGAGGGAAAGAGGCGAGTTGGACAGTCCTCAGCCCTGCCCCCAGCAGCCCCACCCCCCAGGGGCTCACCCACCTTGGCCAGGGAGGCCCCGAGCAGCCCCCCGCACAGCTGGGACACACAGTAGGGAAGCAGCATCGTCAGGTTGAGGCCTCCGACCAGCATGGCCGCCAGGGACACGGCAGGATTGAAGTGTCCACCGCTGTCGCCGCAGAAGCAGGAGGAAGTCATGAGGCCGAGGCTCAGGCTGTGCGAGGGAGTGTGTCCCAGCTCCCGCTTCACCCTCTCGCCCTGCGCGTGGGGGCCCATCCACAGCCACAGGCACCCCCCCCCCCCTCAGGTGCCCAGTGGCAGTCTGGGGCCTGGGCGAGCCAGGAGGGGGGCTGAGTAGACATTTGCTGAGAAGCCAGTGACAGTAAAAGGCTGCACCGTAGGGAGCGGCCCCCTGAGGTGCACACAGCATGGGCTCCCGGCCAGCGGCCTGGGCTCAGATCCAGCTCCACCTCTGAGCAGCCGTGGGACCTTGGGCAGCAGCGCACCCCGCTGCCTCAGGACCCACTTCCTGCGGCTGCGGCGGAGACAGAACGAAGACACGTGCGTGCTCTGCTACATACAGGGGTACTCGGTGAACACTCGTACCCCTGACCCCCCGGCTAAGACGTCTCCACCCCACCCCAGGGAGCAGGTCATGTGCTCTTCACGCCTGGGACGTTCAAACGAAATGCCACCGTCCTCTTCCCCCTCTTCGTCCGGGAGACAGAGGTGGTTTCTTCACTCGGATCCGCTCGCTGAGGGGGACGAACACACAGCTGGCCGCATGGCCCCGCCGGGCGCCCTCACTGAGGCCAGAGGTGGGGGTGGGGGGGAAAGCTCTGTCCAGATGGCGCTGTGCAGAGCCCCCACCCTCAGCTCACCGCCTGATGGGCCTGGACCACTCGGTGGGTGGGAAATCCCTCTAGCAGCTGCTGTCCCCGGGGAACCCCGAGGCTGGAGCGCCCCTTCTAACACAGCTGCAGAGCAGCCAGGGGGACTGAGCCTCCCATTGCTGCGTTCCCCCGCCCCCCCCCCACCCTGCCCCCACCCCGGGCGCCACGAGGCTGGCTCTGCGGCTTATGGTGCTGTAACCTCACCAGGCCGCTGCCCTGTCCCAGCCGGAGGGGTGTGAGGGCGCTGCCCGGGGCTCACGCCGCAGTGCTCAGGACCGCGCACCCGCACCATCATATGTGTGGATAAAGTCACTGTAAACGCCCCTGGGGGTCCCATTTGCTGGGTGGAGGGGTTCGGATTGGAAGCATGACTTGCCCCGGGGCTCAGAGCTCGTGGCTGTGGGGCTAGATGGGCGCCCTCAGCCGGAGTGGGTGCCCGGGGCTCCCTCTGACCCTCAGCTGCAGGCGGCACCGGCTGAGGAGGATGGAGCAGCACCCTCACCTGACGTTGCCCAGCGTGGCGACCAGGAGGCCCAGCGCCAGCCCGTGGGCCAGCGCCGGCGGCAGCAGCCCGGCTTCCGGCCCGTTCCCGATCACCGACAGGCAGCCGATGAAGACGAAGAGGGCAGAGCCCAGCAGCTCCACCAGGCAGGGCCGCACCAGGCGCTCGTGCCACCACGCGTGCCCCCTGCCTTCCACGCTCGGCTCCTTCCCCTTGCCGCTGCCGAATTCCAGGTCCCCCATGGACACGGCGCCCTGCGGGAGGGAAGGGAGTGGGCCTGGGGGGAAGGCTGGCCGGGGGCCGGGGGAAGCCCTCCTGCCCCCCGAGTTACTCTCAGTGACCCTGGAGGGCCAGGCTGGGAGCAGGGCAGCGGGCTCACCTCTGCAGACATGAGGCCGCGCACACTGGTGGCTGAGCCTGGCTGGCCGGGCGCACCTGCTGGCCTGCACACGCTTATCTCCGGCTGAAGCTACCGATCCCGGAGCGGGCTCTGCCCTTTAACAGGCGCGAGAGAGCAGAGAGCGGGTGGGAGGTGGCCCTGGGCCCAGAAAAGGAAACAGTTTTCTTTTCATCTCAGCTGGGAGGGCAGGAGGTGGGTGGCTAAGGATTGCTGAGCTTCCTGCCAACAGGGGGAAGGCGCTGGCTTCGCGGCAGCATCCGGAGGGGAGGCCCAGCCCTGAGGCCACCATCAGGGTCCAAAGCAGAGGACTGTCCCTGTTAGGACCACACACGGGAGGTTACAGCCGACTCTTCCTCAGGTTGTTCTGCCAGTCCCCACAGACATCTCCTCAAAGCGAGGCCTGACACCTCCGCTCACGCACCCGACGGCCTGATCCAGAGCAGAGCTGTGCCGGGTGACCCTGCACTGACGGGCAATTAGGCCCGTGGAGAAGCCGTGGGCGTTAGAAACAGGCCACCGGGGTCCCACTGACTTACCGTCTCTGCACTTTAGCTCGCTCCCTACAACGTGCGGATGATGGGCCCCAGGCTGCTGCGAGGTTCACTGAGTTAGCACATACACTGAGCGGCCAGATTATTATGACCACCTGGCGTTTGTAGGCACATTAGCCGTACACTGCATCGTATGGGATATGGAAGCCGAGGCCTGTTCGAACACCTGTGCTGTCTGCTTTACCAAGATAAAACGTCTCCAATTCGCACAGGAACACAGAGATTGGACAGTCAAACATTGGAAAAAAGTCATGTGGTCCGATGAATCATGTTTCCAGTTGCATCGTGCAGATGGCAGAGTGAGAATTTTGCGGAACAGCACAAAAGCATGCACCCCACATGCATGAGTACAACCCTTCAGGCTGGCAGGGGCAGTGTTATGGTTTGAGGCATGTTTTCCTGGCATGATTTGGGCCCTTTAATTCATGTGGAACAACGTTTGAATAGCACAACATACCTAAGTATCATTGCTGATCAAGTTCATCCTATCATGCTGATGGTGTGTCCCAATGGAGATGGCTTCTTCCAGCAAGACAATGCGCCATGCTGCAGTGCTTGTATTGTGCAGGAGTGGTTTCAAGAACATGAAGGAGACTCTACCTTGCTTAGGTGGCCCCCACAGTCACCAGATCTCAACCCAAGTGACCATTTGTGGGACAAAGTTAAAAGAGCCATCAGGCAGCTGGTTCCAAAACCATCAAATCTCACAGACCCGACAGAGACATCAGGCACGGTGTCAGATTCCTCGCATCACCTTTCAAGATCTCGTGGAGTCAATACCAAGGAGAATCGCTGCCGTATTGAAGGCAAAAAGTGGCCCAACGAAGTACTGATGGAGTGGTCACAATATCTGGCCACTCAGTGTATATGTAAAGTGCCCCCGACAGTGCCAGACACATGGTAAACACCACGAGGAGGTGTCTACTAATGTATAACATGTACTGATGTTTAATCTATATTTACTGAGTACTTTCTAGTGCCAGACTTGGGCTACAGACCTTACATGTACTATCTCATTTAACCTCAACAACCCCACTAGGCAGGAACTATAATAATAGTACATTTACAGATGGGGACGTGGAGATTCCGGAAGGTTAAGTTTCACAGGGTTAGTGATTGCAAAACTTGTGGGCTATGTCACACAAAAAGACAAATACTGTGTGATTCCACTTACACAGGGTAGATTCAGAGAGAAGGTACAATGGTGGCTGTCGGGGCTGAGGAGGGGAAGGGGGGTTAGTGTTTAATGGGCACAGAGCTTCAGTTTGGGAAGATGAAGAAGTCTGGAGGTGGATAGTGGTGATTGCACAACAATGGGAATGCATTTAATGCCACTGAGCCACACACTTAAGATAATTGATTTGGTAAATTTACACTACGTATTTTTTTTTATCACAATTGAAGAAAACAACAACACTGAGTTAAACCACTATACTCAACTGCTATTTAAAATGGAAGGAGGGAGGGAAGGAGGGAGGGAGGAAGGGAGGGAGGGAGGGAGGGAGAGGAGAGAGATGGATAGAAGATAGATGCATGGGGAAGGATGGAAAGATGGACACATGGAAGGAAGGAAGGAAGGAAGGAAGGAAGGAAGGAAGGAAGGAAGGAAGGAAGGAAGGAAGGAAGGAAGGAAGGAAGGAAGGATAGATGAATGGATGGATGAATGGAAGGAGAGAAGGGTTTCCTTATTCATCCATTCAGCAAATATTTAAATACCTGCAGTGAAACAGTCCCCGTTTGAGCCATGTGGAAAAGCACAATGAACAGGACTAGCAGGTTCAGGTCCATGCTCACAGCGTCTCTGGGTTTGTATGTACAGATGGAGGAACAGTGACACAGATGCGAGGGTTTTACTGACCCTTTCTACCATTTATTGACTACTCACCACACACCTAACACACTCTGCGTATATTCATAGCACCCCTATGAGATAAGTCTTCATTGCTTCTTATCCCATCTTCAGATAATAAAACAAGGCACAGAGAACTTGCCCAAATGTGTGTAGATAAGAAAGCATCAGCCTCCGCAGAGAAGTGGGTGGACAGCTTGTGGGTGTCCTTTTTGGAGGAGAACCAAATGCAGCGCCTTTGTTGGGCATCTGCGCGTGCCGGAAGGGGTGGGTCTGCTCTCTGCCTGTTATCTGGAGCCCATGCTCGCCCTCCTTCACTCCCACAGCACAGCGCACCAGATGTATCTTATGCCCTTCCTGCCGGTTCCGCAAATGGCAACATAAGATAGAGGTCCAGCTCTCAACTTCTCCCTCATGCTTTGCCCAAATACTGCCCAATGCTGCTTCTGTAATATTTTTCTCCTATTCTCACCCAGGCCTTCATCAGTTCTTGCTTGGTCTCTTGAAGAAAATCAGACATTCAGTGTACTTCTCAGTCATTCACTTCATGCTTACAATAAACCTGCTTCTCCTGCTACTTACCTTCTTTTTCCCCCCTTCACAGGCAGAAACTTCCAGCTAATAGTCCTATATAATAAAAGGCTAATACGCAAATCGACCAAAAAGTGGAACAACCAGTGGCTATGACACACACTGACCACCAGGGGGCAAACACTCAACACAGGAGCTGTCCCCTGGTAGTCAGTGTGCTCCCACAGGGGGAGCACCACTCAGCCAGAGGCCAGGCTCAGGGCAGAGCCTCTTATGCCTTTGTGGCAGTCAGACATCCCCCAAGGGCTCCCAGACTGCAAGAGGGCGCAGGTGGGGATGAGGGACACACACACCCCCCCCCCACCACCAAAGTGTACGAATTTTATGCACCAGGCCTCTAATACTAGAATAAATCCTCATCTGGTCTCCTTGCCTCACTCCATTTTAGCCCATTCCTCTGACACTGGGAGAGAGCAGGGCACAGTAGGCTCTTGGGTCTAGGCTTGGGGATCAGACTTCTCCACCTTTGCCCACTGTCTGCTCTCTCTGTTCCCATTTCCTCTTTTATGAAAAATGGGCTAATGGTGGCACATATCACCATAGGGTTGTAAAATGGGTGAAATGAGACAGCGTGCTTATTAGCAAAGTGCCCAATTCAGAACAGGTGCCCAACATATCGTAGCTATTAATATGGTTTGTGTTAGTCAGAGTATAACCTGTATAACAAATAACCCCAACATTTCAATGGCCTCATATACTGAAAAAGGACTCATTGTTCACATAATGGTCCATAACAGGCTCTTCACCTTATGTGACTCAGGGATCCAGGCCACTTCCACTGGGAGACTCACCATGTAAGCCCTCAGATCTTACCCTCCAGCCAGGACATGAGATGGAGAGGATGTGGGGTGCTGTGCAGGAGGTTTTCATGGGCTACCCAGGTGTGATTAGTAAGAATTCTGTCCATCAAAAAACCACTAGACTTGGGAGATAAGAGATCAACTGAAGGACTTGTATACATGCATATAAGTACAACCAATGGACACAAAACTCTGGGGAGGGAGGGTATGTTTGGGGGGACAATGTTAAAATATGTACACAGATAATAATTTAATTAAAAAAAACACTAGACTTAATAAACAAATTCAGCAATATAGCAGGATACAAAATTAACACCTGGAGATCTATGGCTTTTTTATACAAAATAATGAACTTATAGAAAGAGAAACTAAAAAAAGCAATCCCATTTACCACTGCAACAAAAAAAAAAAATTAAGATACCTAGGAATAAACTTAACTAAGGAAGTAAAAGACCTGTACTCAGAAAACTATGAAACATTGAAAAAAGAGATAGAGGAAGACATAAACAAGTGGAAGAATATAGCATATTCATGGATTGGAAGAATCAACATCATTAAAATGTCCATGCTACCCAAAGCAATAGATAGGTTCAATGCAATTCTCATTAAGATACCAATGGCATATTTCACAGACTAGAACAAACTCTCCAAAAATTTATCTGGAATAAAAAAGACCCCAAATAGCTGTAGCAATCCTGAGAAAGAACAAAGTTGGAGGGATCACAATACCAGATATCAAGCTATATTACAAAGCCACTGTTCTCAAAACTGCCTGGTACTGGCATAACACATATAGATCAATGAATGGAACAGAACAGAGAACCTAGAAATCAACCCAAGCCATTATGCTCAATTAATATTTGACAAAGGAGGCAAGAGCACACAATGAAGTCCAGTTAGTCTCCTCAATAAATGGTGTTGGGAAAATTGGACAGATACATGCAAAAAATGAAACTAGACCACCAACTTACACCGTACACAAAAATAAACCCAAAATGGATAAAGGACATAAGACAGGAAACCTAAAAAATCTTAGAAGAATTCATAGGCAGCAAAATATCAGACATATGTTGGAGCAATATCTTTACTGATAGAGCTCCTAGGACAATGGAAACTAAGGAGAAAAATAAACAAATTGGACTACTCGAAATAAAAAGCTTCTGCACAGCAAAAGAAACCATCAACAAAACAAGAAAGCCCACTGCATGGGAGAATACATTTGCCAATGTTATCTCTGATAAGGGTTTAATCTCCAAAATTTACAGAGAACTCATACAACTTAACAAAAGGAAGATAAACAATCTAATTTAAAAAAATGGGCAAAGGACCTCAATAGACATTTTTCAAAAGAGGACATACAGAAGGCCAAGAGACATATGAAAACATGCTCAAAGTCACTAATCATCAGAGAGATGCA